CCAGGGCAGGGACTGTCCCTGTGCTGGCCCTGCTGAGGCCCCTCCAGGGCTGTGTCCAGTGCTGGGCCCTCATGGCAAGGAAGACATTTCCCAGCTGCCTCCATCACTGCTTATGCTGCTGCTGGTTCCTCCTCATCCCACCTGCAGGGACACCTTCCACCAGCCCAGGTGGCTCCAAGCCCTGTCCAGTCAGGCCTTGGACACTTTCAGGGATCCAGGGGCAGCCACAGCTTCTCTGGGCAACCTGTGCCAGGGCCTCACCCTCTCTGTAAGATTCTCAAGGGTCTGTGGAAAGAAGGAGGTCAAAGGAAGGAAAACTTAAACAGTGGTGAGATCCCATGGGATCTCAGGGGTCTGTGGAGATGTGTTAAAGCTTAATACTCACCAAAACCCTCCTTGTGGTGCTCCCTGTGTGCAGTCACACGTCCCTGGGATCCGGAGCTCTGGGTTCACCTAACTGGGAATCCCCTGGAACTTGGTGCTTAAGCAAATTCAGCAGTGTGGTGGAGGTTAGGTGAGCGATGGCATTTCACCCTTGATGGATGTTACCAGAAAAGCTGTATTTATTAAAAAACAACTTATCAAGCCCCCTGGTGCAGATGTTAAAGGTAGAAAGTGTGTTGGCTCTTAGCAGGAGTTGTGAAAACATTGCATGTATTTTGCTGAACACTTCCTTTCCAGCTGCAAAGCACAGCTACCTCTCACACTGCACACGCCAGCAAACATCTCTTATCCCTCCTGTTAGATTAAATCAGGCTCCATTACGATGTTTCACTCAACTGTGCAGGGAATGTGTGCAGCAATACCCGTTCGGAGTGCTTGGCTAGGTCCTTTTCTCCCTAATGTCCCAGTTCACCTTCAGGGTTGATGGATGATGTTGCTCCTGTTAGGAGAGGCAGAATCTCACTGTGCTGCTGCTGCACAGAGAAGATTCTCCCAAGGTCTGCACTGGTGGAACTGGTGCAGCGTCCAGGCAGGAGTCAGGGTGAAGATGGGCAGAGGCAGTGCAGGGTTAGTGCCTCAGTACCTTACTCTGCTGAATGAGGCAGCTGAGACCTCCAGAAATACCCAATGGGGCATCATTTCTCTCCTGTGGATGCTGGGGATGCTCATCCCCACCCTCTTCGTGTGAATATTGTGCTGAAGGTGCTGAGTGAGTGTGGCTGGGGCTGAACCAGCTCAGGCTGCCCTGGGGAACCCAACGAAGGGCTGTCCTTGGGGTGCCTTTGTGTGGTAAGATACATAAGATACCCCAAAAATGCCAAGGCAGTGGAAAGAATTCAAAAGGTTTATTCTGAAGTTGAGAATGCTAAAAACTCCCAAAGAGAACCTGTGGCAGCTGTGAAAGTGCTGGGCCTGAGAAAGCCTCCTGTTCCCTGCCAGGCCTCTTATCTTCTCTGTCCTCCCCCAGGGTCTCCCCAAAGCAAAGGGCTGTAACACTGGGAGGGTTTATTTCTCCTCAGACCGGAGACAGAGACTGCAGCTTTCTCTGGAATGCAGAAGGGAAAGAAACATCCAACTATGTTTGAAAAAAGGGGTTTTGTCTCAGGCAGAAAGTCTCCTTAAGTGAAACATCTAATTAAACTCTAATGTCCTCAAAGTGAAGTCTTCCAGGAAAAGGGTATTTACCCCGACAGCCTCAGGGGTGCACTGGTGGTTCCCAGGGCTCTGGTGAGCTGAGGGCTCTGGCTGGATGGGGATGCTGCTCTTCTTGTCTGTCAGGAAGCTCTGGGAAAGCAGTGGTGGAGATGATGGAAGCTCTCCCAGGCACACTTGTGCTGCCAGACTCCGGGAGCTAAAGCAGCTCAGCATCTTGCTTGTGGCCACTGCCATTTTACACTCAGCTAAACTCCTGTCTATGCAGAGACTTCAAGTGTTTAAGCATGTGGGAAGATAGTGATCTGCTTGCCTGAAGCTCAGGTATTAATAATAAAGTCCTTAAGACAGCCAATTGTATTTCAGCAGCACCTTTAGTTCCCGGCTCTCCGAATGCTGTACAGACAGGGATTAACACAGCCTCACAACAACCCTGTGAGGTAGGTGAGTGTGATCATCCCCACCACTGTGGGGACAATGAGGGCACCAGGGATAAGGGGCTTGGAGTATCATCCTGGCGTTTGACCTAGAACTTGGCCATTTAAGTCTCCTCAGGCCTTCAGAACAGGCTTTCCTAAACACACAGGTTTGACATGACATGGGGCTACGCTGCTTAACGAGCCCCTGACTGCCTGGCATGGACTGGAAAGGCCATCAGCGAAGTAGGTGGTGCCTTGGTGCTTCTTGCTGCTGCATTTATTCAGAGTGTTTGAAGGCATCTCAAAAACAGAGCTAGATATCAACCACTGAGCGTGGCAGGCTGTAACTGGAGAAAGCCCTTAGGCCCCAGCTGGAGAAGCTATGTAGGACACTACAGAAAATGTATTGATCAGAAAGGACATAATAATTTATATCTAAAGTCCACCCTCGCTCTTTCCACAAAGGAAAAAACAAGAAAAACAACCTAGAAAGTCACGGCTGGTTGTCATGTGTCAGCTTCATTCTCTGGGCTCTTCATAGCACCTGGCAAAAGAACAAGACATGGTGCATCAGCAGCCTGTTTCGGCTGCCAGAGGGAGTTCAAAGCAATGTGTTCTCCCAAACTCAATCCCAGCTTTAAAACAACTGAAAATGATGTGAAATCCTCATGTGGGATGGATGTGAGGGCACTGAAGGAAACGTGCCTCAACCACCTGTGGAGCTGGAGGGGGTGAGTTTGGGCTGGAGGGTGAGACCTTGATTTCTCAAAGGCTGTTGAGAAATCATTTGTCATTTAGTGACAAACCCCTCCAGCTTTGTTGGCTGGCCCTAGACCGTGTCACCTGTATACATGAGGTATATCTGACACCTCGAGTTCAGGCAGCTCAGGTAAACCTGAGATGGGCACCCAAACGTTTCACTGGGCTCACTGGAACCAGTTTGGACCTTTAGGAGTTTGATGGCAGCTGTTTTTTGTTATATTTCTGAAGGAATAAGAGAGCAAAGAAATACCTCAAAGGCATGCTCTTATCCAGCCACAGAAATGATCCCCAGCTAACGCCCTAAAAAGCAAGGCTGAAAGGGGACACCTTTTCTGATGGGGGGTAAGTCATGCTGTTGTTCATGTTGATGTTCTTCATGGAGATCAGAGTGATGCTGTTGTCCTTCTGGCTCATGTCTGCTGAGCAGCTGTCAGGGAGAGAAGGTGGTATTAACTGCTCTGGGAAACGAAAAGAGGGAGTCACAGAATCACAGAGTCATTTAGGTTGGGAAAACCCTCCAAGATCATCGAGTCCAACCTGTGCCTGGTCCCCAGGCCAGCCCAGAGCACCGAGTGCCACGGGCAGGCCTTCCTTGGACACCTCCAGGGACAAAGTTTCTTTGTACACAGCTAGAGGCAAACAGGCAAGGTGAGTCGGATACACAGCTCCAGGGTTGGTTTCCACTGCCTGTTGAGCTGCTGTCCTGATTCAGACTCATCCTTGGTGCCAAATTCCCAGATCTCTGGGCAAACAAGCTGGGTGTGCCCTACAGAAAGCCCCACTGTCTCCTGTGTCACTGCTTGTAGGCAGGGTCAGGGAGCAGTTTGGTTCTGGTCCCCAGTGAATGGATTTCCTGCCAGCCCTGCAGCCCTCACCAGGACTGGAACAAGGAGAGCATTGCTGGGAGCCCTGCCCTAGGCCCTCAAGGTTATTTGTCATGCAGAGGGAGCCCTGGATCCTGTTCCATCTGATCCTGCTGCTCATGTATTGTCAGTGTCTCTCTTAAGAGAGTGAGTTACAAGCCTTAGGAACGTGGAATTCCCCTTTCTTCCTAACCTGAAGGATGGGATACACGTGCCAGTGGAGACTGGATGACTTAGGGGATTAGGGTACCGCAGGGCTCTGTCCTTTGCTCTGGCATGTTCTGCTTCAGTTGCTTCAGATCACTTGGATCATGATCATTAAGGGTGTTTGGGAACCACTGATCTTGATGCAAATTTGGCACCTCAACACTTGGGGACTTTGCTTTGTGCCCCTTGCCCCTTTCCAAAGCAGGGTTTATTACTTTGGTGGGAAACTATCAGATGGAAAAGTAGGAGCAACATGCTGTGGTCCCTTCCAGCTCGTTTCCTGCTGTTTTCCCACCTTCAGCCTCTCTTCTGGGGTAGCTGTGATGGACCATGGGGTTCTGACAGACCATTCTCCTCTTGATGCTTCTCTCTCAAAGGTCTTTGAACTGGGGCCCCCTTATCTGGGTTAACAGTAATAATAAGCATCTTGGAAGATACCTGAGACTGCTCTGAGATTCAGAAACTCAAGTTTAGACCTCAAGTCTGTATCTAGGCAAAGAAAGACAAGCAAACTGCTTTGGGAAGGTGAGGAGTCTTTGCAGATCTCAGGGCAGCTTTGAAAAGAGGCCCTGAAATATTGACCGTCTACCTTTGTCTCTACCAGCTATCAAAGATGTCTCAAAGATGTTTTGAGACGCTTCCTTCCACCTGCTGTAACTAAAGCAGATTCTTTTCCTTGCTAAAATTAGCTCTGGAATAAAGTAGGCACTTTGAATTGGACACAGACAGCATGAGCAGCCTTACCTCTCTGACACCATGGAGCTTCCTGGTTTCTGTTTGTCTGCAGGGAGAAAAGCTGGAGTTGGTGACATACAGCTGAGAAAACATCACAGCTAAGCCACAGAATAAGTCAGCTCTATTCTGAATTACGTTGTACAGGGATATAAATGAAATCTGGATGAGGTAAGACACACCATGGGGGAAACTTGAGAGTTGAGTAGGGAAAATCTTTCAGTTAATGAGACATACAGGCAGGACCTGATGGCCTTGCTGTCTGTTCAGTCACCAGCAAGGTATCTGTCTTACTGTAGAGCAGCCTTGCCCTCTGGTGGGCACTGCTTAGTGGAAAGTGGGATTCCTTGGGAAAAGGAGTGTCAAACTCCATGACTTCTGCTGGAAGAGCTGCCACCTCTAGGAATCTGCACACTGAGCTGCAGCAAACTTGAGACTTGTCCTTGTGCAGATGGGGCTGGGCTGGGGCTCTAGAGAGAGGTCACATCACATTCCTGACTGCTGAATCTGTGTTCCAGTTTGGCTTCAAAACCTTTTCAAATGCATCTTTTAGGAACTGCCAAATCCAGCAAGGAAACTGGTGACCTGTGGATTAGGGAAGGGCATCCCCTTGGGCAGGTACCTTCCTCCTTGGAGCGGTTACACTTGAACCTCAGGCTGACCACACCGACCAGGACGATCACCACCACTACCAGGATAACGATGAAGCTGATGACACCTGGGGATGGAGCAAAGAACTGCCTGAGACTGACAGAACAACATCCTGGATCCTGGGGCAGCAGTGAGACTCTGACTGTCATCAAAACTTGGGTAGGAAATCAATATTTTCATTAACATGAGCATGGCAGAGAAGTGAGTAGTCACTAGAGTGAGTGACTATCCTCTTGTGTTTTAACTTCAAAGAGCTGCTGCTGAATACTTAATTGATGAATACCTGATTGATAAGGCAGTGCCAGAAGGGCAGAAGTCAGCTGATTACAGTGGGGATTGATAGGAGTCAGTATGTTCCTAATAAAGTTGGGAAATCTTATCCTAAAGGTGTGTAAAGTGAGATAAAAAGCAAAGTACAAGAGAGAGACAAGTTAAAGGCTGTGGGTGATGTCATCTGTCTCATAAAGATCTGGCCAGGTGCAGATTGGATTCTGGCACCAGGCCTCAATAAATCAAACTTTGCATGGGAGTCTTGGCCTGCTAAGACTGGTCCAGGACTTAGAATCATGGAATGGTTTGAGTTGGAAGGGACCTTGAAGCTCATCCAGTCCCACCTCCTGCCATGGGCAGGGACACCTTCCACTGGCTCCAAGCCCTGTCCAACCTGGCCTTGGACACTTCCAGGGCGGGGGCAGCCACAGCTTCTCTGGGCAACCTGGGCACTCGTGAAGCTGACTGTCCAAAACAATGTGTTCTGGCAAAACAGACCCCTCTGCCCTCCCCAGGCTGTCCAAGAACTTACCGAAAGCTGCCACTGTCAGTGGTGATTCATCATCTGTTGGGGTGGGCTCAGAGGAGTTCAGTGTGAGGGTGACAGGCTCTGAGGTGCCTACAGAGGAGAAAAGGGCAGCTTTATGTAAAAGTCTTTCTTCCAAGGTTGGGAAGAGGATTCCCAGCAATCCTAGAGGATTAATTCACACCTGTACTTTATTGACAGACTGAGGTTGGATCCTGGCCAGGCCCATCAGTGTTAACAGCAAAGTGACCAAGACCTGTTTGAAACCATTGCTTTGGTGAGGCCCCTGAGAACACCCACAGGGTCCTGCTGGGACCCCAGGGAGGCAGCTGAGCAGGGCAGGTGAAGATCTGCCCTGGCAGTGTGACTGAGGGTGGAGTTCTGTTTCCCAGGCTGCCCCAAAATGCTGCTTCTGCAGAGTTTTACAGGCATTTCAAGGGCTAGATGGGATAGCCAGCACCCCTCAGGCACTGTTCTCCTGCTGCCTTGAAGACAGAGGTGTGATGGCCCTGCTGTTGGCTGAGTAAAGGGCTGTAAAATCCACAGCAGGGCTCACCTCTCTGGGAGGAGGAAACACCCTGAGTCACTGGTGTCGTGGTTCTCTCCCTTCTCGTGGGCTCTTGATCTGCAGAGAGAAACACAGATTGTGAGTCTTGTCCTTGAGTGTCATCTAACAACCAAAGGAATTAATGGGCACCTGGAGAGGACAATGGAGTCACAGCAATGCTGGTGATACCTGGGCAAACATGGAATTCAGGCTAAAAGCTTCCAACCAAACATACTTTGTACTGTTTCCCATGTCCAAAGAGAAACCCAGGGAACCAAAATTCAAATGCCCTTGTCTAAACTCTTCAGGTTCAGGTTTTGGGCAGAAAGAGCAGTGGGAGGCTGGAAGAGTGAACTGGGAAGATTAAAGATTTTCTATAGCTCATAAACACTGAGACTGAAAATACCCGCTTAGAGGAAGAAGTTTTGCAGAGTGTGGGTGGGGATTGACTGTTTGGCTTGTCCTTGGACTAGAAATGGGTGGGTGTGCTGTCCTGGCTTATCTAGAGTAGTTAAGCTCATTTGAGCTGGGCTAACTTGTGTCCCATGTGCAGTCTAGCTGTGGCAGCACAGAGGTTTGAGCAAGGACTCCAGTTCTGAGGGGGAGAAACTGGCTTGTATGAAGCTGTTTGGTTTGTGACAGCTGCTCCAGTGCCTGCACAAGGAAATTTAAAGCCAGTCCTTGTATTTCACTTGTACAGAGAAAAAAACATCCTTTGCTGCCTCCAGGCTGAGTGTTGAATGGCCTGAGTGTCTGCCCCGATCTCAATGAGCAGCTGCAGGCCCCGTCAGGACACTAGAAATGATCCTTCAGAGTTTCAGAAGATCATCTGGAGGTCAAGTAGGATCTTCTTCCCTCCTTTCCCACCCCCACCTTCCCGGCAGCAGCGCTGGCCAACAGTGTGTGATGCCTGGGGGGGTGTGGACAGCTCCTGCCACTGCCCTGGCGTTCCTGTCCCACACAAAGCTTCACTGTTTTGAAATCTGATTTTGCCAAAAGCCAGAAGAAAAAGGGGAAAAGGCATGAAATAGCAAATCTAAGTGGGTCCGAAGCCACGTGGAGCACAGCAGTCTGGAGAAACAGGGACTCCTGCTGGACAATTTTTTCACAGGTCATCAAATTCTTTGCTTTATTCTGAAATTGTTCTTCTAGCCATGGGCAGAAATTGTGGTTTGCTGAGCCTGGCACAGACACCCCATCCCTGGGGGATGTTTGGTCTCACACAACAGGAGCTCTGGCTTTTGGAAGCATCAGCAGCCATACAGCAAAGATGTATGTATGGAGCTTCTCAGCCATAAATCAGGGCTGTGATGAGGAACAAGCTGCTCTGAGGCAAAGGACTCCTGCCTTAGGAGGGCCCAGCCAGCTGGGTGGGCACAGCTGACCATGGGTTTCTAATCTTGCTTGTGTTAGAGATCTGAGAGGCACTTGGAGAGGTGGAGCAGTTTCTGTCCTGACCACTGCAGATTTTTGAGGCCGAATCATTAATGGGAAATCAGCTCAGTTGTCAGATTCCAGTCTTCCCAGTCTCTGGGATTCTGCCCTTATTCTGAGAAAACTTTTACTAAACTCTTTAATTTGTGCTTACAGGTTGTGTTAAACTGTCAAAAGGAATATTGTATTTATTTAAAAGGCTGTTAAAAGGGCTCCCTTTTCCTGTACGTAGATCCATCGTTCAGCTGCTTGAGTCCATCCCAGCAGACCATTTGATCCCGTGTTTTATCACTGCTTGTAAGGATACCAGATGTGATTTTGGGTGCAAATGGTGGCTCAACCCTAAAAGACTGGTGCTCAGATAACCTGTGCCATGAGAGCCAAGCAAGCTGATTGCCATGACATTATTAAGTTCTTGTTACTCTATCAAAGGACGAAGTACCTTGAGGTGGGGGAGAAGTGGCTGCTGTGCTTCTGTTTCCACTAGAGTCATCATCTAGATAAAGAAAACATGGAAAAGGAAAATTAACTCTTGAAGCTGCTACTAATTCTGCTTTAGGGAGCTGCTGGGTGTCCAGGGGGTAAAAACCTTGGCTAGCACGAGACTTTCCCTCCAAAGAAACATCAAGATGCCCACCTGGCAAGGGGTGCAGCCAGTTCAGAGTGTCCCTGAGAGGTGAGCTGGGACAGGTCTGGGAGGCTGGAGCTGCTTTGGGAAGCTTTATTTGATAAAGCGTGACCTGGCTTTTATGATACAGGCTTGTCCTGGTTGTGTCCAGCCATGTGCCTTCAGGGAGCTGGATCGAGCTGCTCTTTCAGCAGAGACTCCAAGAAATTCAATATTTGATGAATTACTGAATAATCAGCACGGTGTGGACTTGGCCCAGTGTTTCTGATGCCCCCAGTCTTTCTTGGATAGGGAGGGAGGCACAAACGGGTCCTGCCTGAGCCAAAGGTTGAGCTTTCCATCCTTACCTCTCACAGTGGAGGCTGGCAGCTTGGTTGGAGTGCTGCTGGTGGTGGTGGAGGGTTTGGCTGCAGCAGCTTGACCCACGGAGGTGACACTGGGGCCAGGGGGTGGGGTTGGTTTTAGTGCCGGCTCTGCAGGGGAAGTGAAGTGTTACCTCAAAGAGGAGGAAGAGGAGGGCACAGCTATCACAGAGAGCCCTCAGGCTCCTTGAGAGTTAGGAATAATCTGCTAGGGAAAGCACAGGCATGGAAACAGCTTTCACCCTGCTCAGAGTCAAGGAGCTCTTGTAGTTTGGGATTAACTTCTGCTTTTTTTTTTCTTTTTTTTTTTTTTTTTTTTTTTTTGAGGAGGTGCTGAGCTGGCAGAGCTCAGCAAACACACAGAGAAAGTCGGAGGTTTTGGCCACTGCTTTTTTCCCTGCTTTGAGAAATGAAGGTATTTTTGTCACTGGACACTTGAACTGCCTGGAGCTGCCTGGCATCCACGTGGCCATTTGTGTGTTATCTCAAATGCCAACTTTCATGTTTCATTTCACCCAGAGTTTCCAAGAACAAATAATTCAGCTTTTGAAGTGGTCTGGAGGCTCCACCACCTGCCCCAATCTGCTGCTCCAAACTGCACAGCAAGAGCATGGTCCAGAGCAAGATGTGGGGGGAAAAGCTTTCAATAATCCCTCTGCA